GTGTAGCCAATAGTCTTGCTTGGAAGTATGGTCCGTAGTGAAAAGCAAGGCATGGCTTACAGAGCGCGCGTTCCGCGCATTCTTTGATAGAAAAACACAGGTTTCTACACCACATCGGGAGCAAGGACAAACAAGGGACAACAAGGAGGGAGCAGCGGGGGGGGGGGGGGGGGGGGGGGTGTACTCATAGTCGTGCATGCCGTAGTCATTAGACCATTGACCTCGCATCCCTACAAAGCCGGGACGGAGCACGCCGGGTTCTCACCGGACCAGGCTCTCACATCACCAAGCGCGAAGCGCCGTGAGGTATTCGGCGAGTCGCATGAAGGGTGCGCTGCATCCTGCTAAGGGTGTTCGGCATCTTATGCTTACTTCCTTGCGTACGGATGACAGCTGCGTATGACTTAATTTATTTTCTGGTGCGTTCACTTCCAGAGACAATTGTAAGCTCTGTGTAACTGCCTCGAGGGTGTTTGACCAATTTAACACAACGTGGTGCGATTATCCCCCTTGCGCGGAGTGAGGGTTCTCCACCCCGCACAACATAATCTACTCGACCACCATTAATGGTTACCGCAAAAAAAAAAAAGCGGCAACCTGGTCGCCGAGCTCACGAAGTGAATCGGCTTGTTTTACAACATCGCTGCCAAGCGACGAAAACCCAACCCCGATGGCAAACACCGGGGGGGGCGGGAGGGGGGGCAATTAAAGCAGGGGTAGACGACATCCCTTGCCGTTGCATGTCGGGCCAATGCAGTGCACACTGGTAGGACAACGTTGTAGAAAACAGACCAAACTGAATCTATAGCGGCAATCACAATTGTTCTCCGTGGTGAGCGCGAGGTCCAACACCCAACACTCGAGTTGGCTGGAAAAGGGTGGCAGAACATGCCGCATTTACCGCTCTCTGTGTCTCTGTCTCTTGCTCTTCCTTCTCCTCGCTTACCTCCCACGCCGCAAGAGCCGCGTCTTCGAATCGACCCAAGGCGAGTCTTGCGACCGCCATTCGGTAGCATGCCTTCGGCCAATCTGGTTTCAGTCGCCGACACACCTGTGCCCAACAAGAAACACCAAGCATCAAACTTGTACCGACAAGGAGACGCAATGACCTGTAGAACACCTTCGACACATTTGACATTGCCTGATGGCATCGAACATGTGAGCGCCCCGTCTGTCTCCACCAGTTGCATGGACCCCCGCGAGTTTCCCTTTCTTTTTTGAGGTTGCGCTCGTATTTCTCGGGCAGAGTGCTTAGACAACGCCTTGAATAATTTTTATCTTTCCAAAACTTAGCACTCATGGTTGACAGTGTTGGCTGTCCGGGTCTCAATTCCTGTTTGCTACCAATGCCCCTTCAGCGTCAGTGCTGAATTAAGGAAATCGCCTTCGCACCTGAGTTCTCTTTCACTTGTCGGTAAGTTTATTCCCAACTGAAAGGTTTCATTTCCGTCTGGTGGGCTCTGCGTTTCCTGTCACAAACGCCCTTCTTTAGACAGATCCTTTCGCATGCTATGGAAAACTCCTCCCTAGCCGGCCAAAATCATGCCCAGCATTGGTTCAACATCATGTAACGACAGCAAAAAGCAGCAATGACCAGCACGAGTACATACTAGAACGGAGAGGCTCTCTCGGGCTCGCCGTGACGTCATACCTCGGCATCGACCAGCGCCTTCTCGTAGTCCTTCATGGACATGAACACGGCGCTCCTGTTGCTTCGGAACGCGGCGTCGGAACCGTCCAGCTCTATCGCTTCAGAGTACGCTGCTAAGGCGCCAGCCAAATCTTTCGCTTTCAGCAGGTCGTTTCCCCTGAACAGCCGTGGGCCATGGTATCAAAAGGTTTAGGGAAGAGAAAAACAATTCAGGGGCGGTGTGGTTGCCACGGACACCGAACACCCGAATCGTAAGTAGCGAATATGGCACTCGTGCTAAGAGGAACTAGTCACGCAAGCGCTCCCACACTACCTCTTCAAGCACCCCCAGAACGACATCAACACCAACGCCAACAGCAGCGGAAATCATACCAGCCCAGCGAATCGACCCGCAGCCAAAAGTTGTCATGACCGTTCGAGTGGACGAACCGCAACTGCAACCTCTTAGGGGCTTTCATGGCAGGGAGGAGTGCAGGAACGCATCTATCTAGATGAGGAAAAGATCGGTGTGTACGAGCACCCCGCACAAGCGCCTAGTCCAAGCTCTGAACATCCCACCAAATACCTCAATATCCAACAAGCGTCAGACATACAAGGGCACAGGCGCACATACACGCGCTACAGACACACCCACCTCGTCTTGGCTGCCACCGCCGCTTCCCGCTGCTCCGGCGTTTCGGCCGGCGAAGTGTTTCCCTCTTCCCCAAGGCCCTACAATTCGGGCGAGCAAGATCATGCATCAGCGACGTACGAAACAAAGAGCAAGACGATTCCCCGAGAGCAGGCGGGGTGGGCGCGAGTGAGCGACCACACTGCGACCAACAGACGTATTCTACGCATCAGCTAAGTCAGCTGTCGGACGTCTATAAAAGGTGAACTTCTTACCGTAGCAGCTCCCTGCTTGGCCTGTGTTGCAATACCGAAACTTGCAAATGCTTATCAGCACGTGCGGACGTACACGGAGCAACAAGACCGTCAATAACCGTACAAAGGACTCGCTCAAGACCCCTGCGATCATGAACTGGACACTCTGCTGTTGTCGCAGAGATGGACACGTGCCAGGTAACGCAGTTCTCTACTGCTGTGCGACGGCTGTCTTCTTTCGTAAAGACCGTTCTCTATAAAGCCGTGAGGAGTGGCGCCGCACCGAAATGTCCACAAAAAACAACTATTGTACCTGCGCTGGGGCCGGTCCCGAAGGCTTCTTCAAGGCCTCTTGGGCTCGGAGCTCCCCCTCGTGCTCCTCTGATAGCTCCTGCGAACACCGTGTAAGGACGAGGGTGTTCGAAACGCCGGTACATCGGTCGGCACCCAATCACGGCGTCGCACATGAGGGAGTCGCAGCATGAGGACAAGTCATGTCACAAGCCACAATTGCGGCAACATGTCTAGTCAGTGGCCTCTCGCCGTGCGGCACACGTGTGCTAAGGATTGAGACGGGGATATGTTGATGGGCGACGAGAACAAACCGCCAACTCGGTCACTTCGGTGCTAAAACACGACGGTTGTGACACACGTGGACAAGCTGCGCAATCCTGCCCGCACTTTGCGCGAACCCTGTGCCGAAAAGCAGCCTTTACTCCACTTCCTGATCTCCACAAAATAGCTTTCGAAGTTTTACTCGTACCTTCCCTCTCGCCATCACAACCTCCAGCCCAACGTCCGGTCCTAGCCCGGAGTGAGGCAAGAGGGTCTCCACGAGGTCTGTTCGAGAAGACATCGCCGCCAGGTGGGCGGGTACACGGCCCTGGGAGTCAGCCAGAGCGGCGCACTTTCGTCCTACAGCGGTGGCAAGGATCGCTTCCACTGCCTGTTCCCACCAGAACGGGCAGGCACGAAACCAACGAACGTCGGGTTGTGAAAATAGCATTTTATCGCCTCGTGCGGGCAACTCTGGGAACAGCTATTCCAGAGCCACGTGAGACTGTGAGAGTGAGTGTGAGCATACGTGACGTGACCAACTCACCTTGTTGTACAGTGGAAAATACATTTTGGAAAGGACGAAAAGGATTTCCGCGTGGTGCTTCGCACCCGGTTCAGTGCCTCCCCCAATAACTTGTTGACAAGCAGTACACAGAGGGAAGGATGAAAAGCAAAACAAGGAACCAAAACCTCTGGGCAAAATAAGTTACACGGGATGCCATGTCGGATATTCGGGCCTTGCGCGCGACACGCAAGCCCAGAACACCACTGTAGCATTCTCCCATGTGTTGGGTATTCCGGTTGCTACATACATGTATCACCAACAATGGATGTATCACCAAGGTCTCCTTGTTCAGAGCACGAACACGAGCGAAACAGATTGCAAGGCAGGCCCCATTGAGCGCCGTACACCCTGCCCGTCTATCCGATCACCGTCGCGTGTTCACCTCTGCAAGGCCCATGTCCGCGGTCATGTGCAGCACGGTCGCTCCGCCGGAAAGCACGAGGCCCGGGTCCGCGCCGGCCTCCACGAGGTGGACCACAGCCGAGCCGCACCCCCGCGCCGCAGCCATCACCAGGGGGGTAAGGCCTTGCTTGTTTCGAGGATCCGGTGTTGCTCCGAGCGACAGCAGCTTCCGGACACTCTCCGACTCTCCCTATGCATGGAGGTGAGGGAAGTTTAAGTTCAATCAAACGTGCAACCGTGGGGATAGACTACTTCCTTCTTGCACGCTACAGGGTCATGAGACGATGAACATTTCGAATTTGCAATAGCGTAGCGCGTCAAACTTTCAACAGCAGCGCGGTTCCTTCCGGTACAAGAGGGCCGCAAGACCGACCCTCATGATTTTACCCCTTTCGTGTTGAAACTTTCTTTCCTCTTCTCTTCCCCCTCCTACGTAGATGTTCACCCTTACAGCCACAGAACTCTCGTCTCCTGCGCCCGCCAACATTTATCAAGGCAAACACCTCTGTGCCCACCTCCCCGGCTGCCCAATGCAGTGGCGTTCCGGCGCCACTCTGAGTCTCGAAATTTGCACCGCTCCCGGAAAGCAGTTCCAACGCGCTTAAGTCGCCATGGCCGGCAGCACGGTGAGCGGGAGCGACCCCCTGAGTATCTGCGGCATTGACGTCGGCGCCCTGGGACGCCAGCCTGGCGGCGGCCTCGTGGCTCCCGGTGATGAGAGCCAGCGCAAGCGGAGTAAGACCGTGATCGTCCTGGAAGAGGATATGGGGTGGTGGAGTGCGAACAAGTAGGGTTGACGCCTTCGGAAATGGTGGTGTACGTGCGACAAGAACTTCGAGCGCTGAACCTGTGTTAAGACTATTGCAGAGGCTACAACATCTGGCTCTGTCTGGTTGTTGATGCTACTCTCTAAGTCCAGGTCAGTCCATACAACACGAGCACCGAGGTGGCACAATACCACAAAAATACCGGTTACCACAGGGGGAATTCTCTCGGTATCTTGTTTGTCGACAGCACATGGGCTACACGCGCGAGGCGCTGCCTGGCTCACTTTCAGAGGGGAGAAAGGTGCAAAGAACATTGTTGGGTATACGAAGTATTCAATACGTGACAGCACATTTAACTGCTAATGCTGCTGTTCCTGTTCCACTGAACACATGAATTTACGCGCATGATACCTTAGAGTTGATGACCGAGGGCGCCATGTCGAAGATTTCGCCAACCACCTCGGCACTTCCGCCGGTGGCTGCGAAGTGCATCGCAGTCCGCCCGTTACCGTCGCGGATGCTGCCATGACAACAACCGACAGCGTGCACGAAACACAGGACGTGCCGTTTACATAAAAACGAAACGCAAGCATTGTGCCCTGTAAGTCTCGTGCAACCTTGGGATTCAAGGAAAAAATCAGCACGAAGATTGAGAGGCTGGAAAATGCACGAAGGTGGGTTGTTTCGCCGATTTTCGAAGTTCAGGGCTGAGCAGCACGCAACCTTGCAACCTCCCAGTTTCGCCTGTTGGCCTTGGTGCGAGCAACAAGCCTAACATACCTGCCTAGCACATCGGCTTCGGAGAGTGGGTGATCCGACTTGGAGTGTTTCGCGAGATACTCTTGGACGAATCTGCCAGGAAGTAAGAGCAACCGCGATGATCACCGGGACGGAGGCAGAAGAGCAACAGAGAACGGGCGACGGTTGCCGTCGTATTTATATACTTCTGAAAGTATAAGCACCAAATCGAACAGCTGGCACGTCCTCGGGCAGGTTCTGGGTAAAGCGATCGTACATGGATAGCGTGGCAACGCTAAACAACAACTCGTAGCGCTACAAGTAGGTTGCGCCGAGGGCTGCGGGTACCGACACTTGCGATTTCTCGACAGATTGGGGGTGCCAACGCTGGCAAGTTGGCATTCCGAAGATCTCTGCAGAAGCTTCTGCAGAGCAATGTATCGGTCGAAAGGTGAAGACCTCTGGATGAGCTTCTGGCAAATAATGATCGCTGAAACAATGAACAGGTTCAACGGCAGTACTTTACAGCAGTACTTTACAGCAGTCTTTAGGGTCTGCCCGTGTTCAATTTTGGATGATTCTATACGGGCGTTGTTTCTGTAGACCAAACAGACCCTTCGATAGATATATGTGCCTCCACACGTGCAATAGGATACGCTACATAAGAGTTCGACACATGCTCAAGAACTCCTTACGTGCGGAGGGGTCTCTGCGAGGTGTAGGAAGGGCGATCAACCTCAATTGGACATGGTCCATCCTCACATGGATCAGGCCAACACCGCGATCGTACTTCGTGCTAAACTAAACGTACGATTCGGTGACCCAAGAAACGTCAATTCGCAGGTTTTCCCTCGATTCCTCAACTTAGAGGGTCATGAACTCCTCAAGGGATGTGAACACACCTACAAAAGCGAGCGGTGTAGCCTAACCGCTAGCCCAATCGATCTAATACAACTACCAAAGGTTGACTCGCTTACTTTCTTACGCCGGTGACCGAGCCTCCCTTGGCGACCGACAGCAGCTGCTTCACCTCTTCCCTGGCCTGGTTGGCCACGTCCAACTTCTCTTCCTTGGAGAGGTCTGGCGACATTATACTCTTGTTGTGTGTAAATGGTGGCAAGTGAAACATCGCGAGAAAGGGGCGAAAAATCGAAAAAACATGTGTGTGGATCTGGTGGAGATGTCGCGTGTGACAGCAGCAATCGGTCGTGTCACTTGGTGCCAGGAGCGGTATTATACCATTTGGAACAATCATAGACACGTGGCCCGTACAAACATATCTCGCCAATGTGTGATCCACTGGGCAATACGAGCGGCCACACATTGTACTGTAGGGGATATCAGCAGCCAAAACTGCTAAAGTACATGCTGTACTTGTAGCTGGACCAACCCAGAGCAGGTATGGCAGTGAGTGAAGATCTACGGAGAACACAGCTTGTGGATAGGACAGATCTACACACCAATCTATCTTATCAGCAAGCGTCTTCACCAAACACGATTGTTTTCGACTCAAGTAAACTATTGTATATTTCTCTGGTCACCACCTTACCTATTTTCCTGTTTTTACGCCAAGGTGTGCCTGAACTGCCCAAGAAGCAAGGACCAAAGAGTGAAGCAGCAGAGAGGGTAGCTTGCCCCTGGGGCATGAGTGAGCCGCAAGGAAGGGGTGGGGGGCGTTTTGGCGCAGAGAATGATAACCGCGTAGCCCCCGAAGTACGTTGTCGCGCGTTCATGCGCGCCCATGACACTTTGTTTAGCCCCGACTCCTAGTACGCCTCCCCTTAACGCTAACCCTACTACGCTACAAAACAACCATGGCTAGGGCAGGAGCGTTCGTTGCATTCGCGTGCGTAGGCGCAAGCCAAGCATTCGTGGTCCCGACGGCAACCGTCTCGGGCGCGTCAACCCGACACACGTCGTCGTCATTGACGATGGCAGCGGAGAACGCGTACCACAAGAAGGACTTCTGGATCGCCCCGTCGATCCTCTCGGCGGACATGGCAAAGCTGGGCCAGGAGGTGGACAACGCGATGTCGGCGGGCGCGGACATCGTTCACTTCGACGTGATGGACAACCACTACGTGCCTAACCTCACGATCGGGCCCCTCGTGTGCAAGGGGCTGAGGGACCACGGCGTCACCAACCCTATCGACGTGCACCTCATGGTGTCGCCCGTCGACCGCATCGTCGGCGACTTCGCTGAGGCCGGCGCGTCGTTCATCACGTTCCACCCCGAGGCGTCGCCCCACGTGGACCGTACCCTGGGGCTCATCAAGTCATACGGCTGCAAGGCTGGTGCGTTTCGTGCGTGTGTGACGTTCCTCCTGATTTTTAGACAATTACGTTCACTGAGACTCACCCGTTCATCAGCAGCGGTCATATCGGCACACCTGGTCCGATTGCGTGGAGGTGTTTATGGTTTGGAAGACCTGTATTGTGCTGTCTTCGATTGCAAGCAAGATGCTGATGTTGGTCGCTCCCGTGACTTGTTTCATGTGTTTGTCATGTGGTTGAGTATTGCACATGAGTGGAATTTCACCAAAATCACGTTTGAGATGCACAGCATTGTGAACCTGCGGGATGTCGCATCATACAACGCCTACTTTTCGTGGTAGTAGCAAGCCCGGTTTATGTGCGCGCCCAGCAGCGCAACAAGGAGAGCAATTCTTGCCCCGCCCAACAGCAGTTGGTGTTAACTGCTGTGCCAGCATCATGCAATATACTGCTTGTAGCACGCAGAACTCGACACGCAGAACTCGATAAAAGAGGTTTCGTGTGGAAAGCTGTGAACGGCGAACTTACTTGTATTCTTGTTCTGTTAAGGGTGGACCCTACCCCTACATTCCCTATGGGGAACAAGCAACGACTGCTGACCAATTCTATTCCAAG